AATTTTGAGAAATAATTAAATGTTTTTAGCAAAATTTTGGTACAAGTGATCTATGAAGAGAGTTACAGAATTGGTCAAAGTACTTTTTAAGAATATAACATTTTACAAATAAAAATCAAAAATTAAACTCATTGCTATCTTCAAAGAAGTGCTAACAGCCACTATGCAAAATAGTCTCAAATAATCCTGCACCTAGAGGCACTTTACTTAGAAAGTAAAATTTCTACATAGGTTGTAACTATAAAACTATATATAATAACTAAATTGTTAAATACAGCTGAATTATTTAAAGAAAACTAACAGTATAACTACTTTTTTTAATAATAGATAAGCGATTTTTAAGCTATGTTAAAGAGGTTTAAAACATAAAGAATGTTAATACATAAGAATAGAGTTAGTAATAAGAGTAGTTAAAACTTTATATATATGTATATATAGAGATTAATGAGTCTTATTATAATGAGCTTTGGGTATAATAAATGATAGATCTTCAAATACTATATTAGTTCAGTATAAAAGATGTAATAGACATTTAAAAAATACATATATAGACCTGTTTTTTTTTTTATTTTTTTGTTAAAGTGAGAAGTGATAAAAACTAATTAAGTTTACAGTTTATGAATATAATGTAATTTAATTGGTTAATTGTCACATGCCTTACAATTAGCCAATAATAATGTGTTATTCAATTTCATGTAATAACCAATCACAAGAAAGTTATCTTATATGATCAAAATAGATTTTTCCTTTTATTATTTAAGTTCTTTTTTTTCTTTTCCTTTTTTGCTCTTTTCTATTTGACAAGAAAGTACTGTTCCATCTTTGAATACTTCTCTTTTTCTTTACAGAAATTCCTCAAGTTTCTTGTTTTGCTCATTGGTTCAACTATGATGCTGTTAGGAGCAGTCAGCTAGGTCTTCTTTCATCTTCTTTTTTACCTTGTTTTGGTTTTATTGTTTGGAAGATAAAATAGGTTTTGGCAGGGATGGTAAATGACCTGAAATGACCCAAATGATCCAAATGACTAATGATTGGTCATGAGTCATTTCAAAAGCCAAATGACCTTAGAAGGTTATTTAACATTTGTTAATTGATAATTTAACACATTTTAACCAATCAAACTTAATTATTATACAAGAAATAATTTTTATAAAATATAATTAACAATCGTAGCTACATATAAAAGTCCAAATTCTACTAAGTTAATCGATATTTATGTCTTAAGTAAAGTATTTATTTATTTATTACTTTTAAAATATTATATTAGTAAAGAATTTTCGGACCAATCCGTAATTAAATCTTGTTGTCCAAAAAGCAAAAACCAAAACTTGAAAGACATTATAAATACAACCTGAATTCGACAAAAATTTTTGGAGCGAATGCTCAGATCGATCTGATCATTCTACTTAGATTGATCAGATCGATTAGAATATACGTATAAAAATGGTTTATGAAAATCTTTTCCGTTTTAGATAAAAGGAAATGTGGCGGATCACGAGTAAATATTAAAAGAACAATTTATTTACCTCATACTTGACTGACTAGTCAACGAAGTGACGTAGTCAGCATTATTGCGAGATCACGGGATTTTTGTTACATAAAACAAACGTAATAGCGTTAGTTGAAAAAATGAAGTAATATTGAACTAATTATGTAGTAATGGTAAATTTACTAAATTATGACGAAATAATTTGTTAATGATCTTGTAATGAGAAATTATTTGGAGGTATAAAGTGAATTGGCTGTAAAGTTATTTTTTCTTCGCTTTGGTTTCGCTATCGCTCGCCATACATTTGTAGGCCAGCTATTTGTTCCCTCCCTACCCACCCACTCCGAACAACTATGGCTTAGTAGCTATAATTGATCGGAACTATCTGAATCCAATCATAAATAATATTTCTCGTGGCTCCTAGACTGCAACGACAGTGCAACGACCACTTGAGAATTGCTAATCGTGGCTCAAGACTGTACCTACAGCTCATTGACCACTTGATCTAAACAAAGGCTCCTAAGACATAGGATTGAGAGCCAATTTATTTGATACGACATTGACATAGAAATCAAATTTTAATAGAAGAACAACGTTGAAAACTTTACACACGTAAATTAAGTATTGATACATTATTTATTATACAATCTTATCATTTGACATACAATTTCACTAACAACGATCCTCTTTTTGCTATCAGTAAACTTACACCAATTACCTACCTTATACACAATTGCTATTTGTTTGCTTATTTAGTGATCATTTGAAGTTAGAAACTTATTATTCATGTCATGTAATAGCGAACCATATTCCCATATGTATATTCCCTAAAACATGTTTATAATAAATAGATCGAGCAATAATAATTAAAAGAAACGATCTTCACCACGCCGATGAAAAAAGATTGAAATGGGTTAAATAAACCATTTTAATTTATATATCCTAAAAATTTAATAAAAATTTGGTACGTTTTTAAAAATTTTAATAGTAATATATTTTTATTTGCTATGTAAATCTAAATTTACACTCTACCCTTAATTTATGTAATCGTATAAAATAATTATAATAAAGCGATACATCGTTTTCCTACTATTTTCATATGAGTGGCGCCAAGGGAAACCCCGAATCCGGAAAGTACAGGTTACTATCATCACGATGAATCACTCCGGATTCAGGTTTTCCTCATATATTAGAATTTTTTAATAAAAAAAAACTCCTTCCTCAATAAAGTTATTCACATAAAAATGAGAATTTATAAAAAAAATCTCACCTTGGTAAAGTCGTTCGTGTAACAATAAAAACTTAAAAAATCTGCCTCAATAAAGTTATTCACATAACATTAAGGAATTTAAAAAAAATCTCGCCTCAATAAAGTTATTCACATAACAACAAGTAAATTAAAAGAAATCTCGCCTCAGTAAAGTCGTTCGCGTAGCAATGAAATTTTAAAAAAATTTCCGCCTCAATAAAGTTGTTTACATAACATGCCAATTTCAATACAATATTGTTATTCTAGTATTCATAAAATAGAGATTGTCAAAAATTACTAATTTATTTATGAAGCTGATTATAGTAAAAAAAATAAATAAATCATGTATTATGAATTTTATTGTATCAATAGTATCGTAATTTTTCGTTATTTTTATTGCTAAGTAATAGAGAAATATGGAATGAAAATAATGAAAATCGACAATTTGTCGATAAAATACAAAAATTAATATACTTGAATGTTAATGAAGAAAGTATCACTAACGCTAATTTTTCCTAACTACTTGAAATACTTCATAATCTGTGATCGAAATTGGCCCCCCTGAGATATTGATATTAGGATAGGAATGTTCGTTATATGACCAACTACTACTGTTATTTGGAGCGTATAGATCGTGACCACCTCCGAAGGTTGGTCCATAACTATTATTGCAATAAACTGCACGATTACCATTAACAACTCGCCCTAATGTTGCACTCTGAGGATTATTAAAATCACTTAATGAAAATAAAAAGCTATCTGTTGTATTTTTGTAGTTATTTCCATTCCAGTCAAGTGGATTATAACCACCAACCAGCTGATTTGAATCCGAAATATATCCTACAACAATTGTTGCACCTTTATTGTCGCATCTTTGATGAAATGTGTAGGACGAAAAACCATCTCTACTACTTCGAAAAAGTAGATTAAAACTGTAGTGAACTTTCTTTAAACTTTTGTTATCTGTAGTTTTGGTAATCCACTTGACAAACATTCGTGCAATCTCTTCATTAATCAGAACTGAGCTAATTTGGTCGATTTTAAAACAATCGCTGGCACAACCTCTGGCAGGTAGTACATTATAAAGTGGCACAGCACCAGAAACCAAATGGCAACGTAAAATATCTTCTATTAAATCATCGGAAAGGAGGCGCCTGAATGGCCAAACTTTGGAAATAAAATCTCCCTTATCTATTTGGTGAAATCTGACAAGTAGAAGTAATTCACATAATGTAGCTTTTAAAGTTTCAAAATCTTCATTGGCAAATTTCTTCACATCACTCTTAAATTTTTTATGCTGAGCGATTCCCCATTTAATTATCCGTTCCCAGACAATACTTTCATTCATATCTAAATCATCGCATTTGAGAACTAATTTCAGCACGTCTTCTTCTAATGAAAAAAATTTGTTCGAACTAAATAATAAGTCAGGGTTTTTACAAATAGTATCAAAAGATACTTTTCTAAGTTCACCGAATGCTTCATGACGTGTAACAATATGAAGCATTTTAACAGAATCTTGTTGCAAGAAATCGTAACAATTTTTAATTAAAAATTCTTGAAGATGGTCCATAAATTTTTGAATTCCCAGTTCATCTGTTGCAACTAGAAGCTCTAAGACTGTTACACCTTCAATTACTTTAAGATCCACAACTCCGCAATATAGAAACCTATTTAGAAATTATAAGCCTGATAGCTTTTATAGTTGTACACGTTCTAATTATTAACTACTTACTTAAGGATAATATCCATAACCAGTCCACTAACATTGGGTTTCTTTAAAACAAAGCAGCCATCTTTCGTTTTTTCTGCCCAATTAGAAGAGAATACTCCACGAAAATAAGTAGACCTAGTGCGAAGCACTAAAGAATGAGCACGTATTTTTTTAACATTTGGTTCTTGACCGGAAAATATAATAACATCGCATCCTTCCTTTGTTTCATATAATTTTTTGTAATCATCTGCCATGTCTGCAAAAAAATTTGAGCCCATTATTGCAAAATTATGAAAAAAAAGAAAAAAAGTGTTCATTATTTAAGTAGATCTACAATCCACAATAAGAAAGTTAAGATTTAACTATTTTAAAAAGTCAAAAGTATAGTTTAATTCATTAACGAGGTTAATATCTTCAATTCATATATTATATTTGACTATTATACAAAAATAATTACAGTATATTTTAATTGAGTCTCTAAAATTGTTTAATTATGAGTATCGTTAAGTGAAGACCGGAAACTATAGCGGTGTTGGTATATTTACGTTATTAAATTAAAAACCAATTAAAAACCAATTTATCGTAACTCTTTATAATTTATTTATTTGTATTATTCTAACTTTTTATTTATTGTTATAAATTTATTTATTGTAGCTTTAGAAATTTTAAGATACAGTATTTTAGAGTTTTTGTAAAAAGTTCATTGCGAAAGAATTAATTATATTTTCAATTAAGAGAATGTCACAAGACAAATTGTTGAATAATAAAGTAATACAAAGAAACCTCTTATCATAGAAAAATAGGATTAGGTTTCGGACTTTATTAATGAAATATACGGTCCTTCTTGTTTAGTTTTTTTTTTTTTTTTTATATTAATTCACTAATACCTTTTTTGTTATCCTATGACGAAATCTTTTTTGTCTAATTTTAAGGACAAGCTTTAAAACTGACTTATTCTTAAATGAAGCGATTTGAATATAATTTATTAACCTCATGGGATATCTAATAATGTGAATAATATGAATATTAAATTAACTTTGAGTTAGGCAAAACTCCCGTGGGGAAAAAGTACATTCTTTCAAGAACTTTAAATAATTAAGTGCAAAAGAAATGTAGATTTTTCTATAAATATAGATCATTATTACTGTCGTTATTAACGAAATCAGGATTCCTTCAATTAAGTAAAATTTTATAATTATCAACTATTTTTATACATCGTTTCAATCATTATGAAATCACACCCTTAGTATCTAGCACTTTTAGCGTTTGCGTTCTTTATTTTAGTATTTATTAAATAATTATTTGTATTTTCTTAAAGGAAATTTATTTTTTAGTTCTTTATATATGATTTAACAAAAAAAAATTTTATTAAATAACTAACTGACTATTTGAAAAGTCCATAGCACTTTTTTTATAACAACCTATTATATGTTTTGAAAATTTCGAGTTCTTTTATATCTAGAGTCGACCAAATATAAAAATAAAAAAGTTTATTAGAGGTATTCTCAAACAGCTCACTCAATGTGATTAACTAGTGATCGAGATGTGAGTGATTAATGTGGTTAATCCGAAGAACGAATTCAGTCACATTCAATTGCAACAATATGTTGCAACTCTCGTGGAACTATAAAAAGTCGCATTTAATATTTGCAGCAAGCAATATTAATTATAGCAGCTCTATGAAAAAATTGGTGGTCGCAGCTCCAGGTTTATTTGACCTAAGTGATAATCACGAACAATTTTTTCAGTCAATCAGTTCGTTTGGTAAACAAATTGGGAGAGACGCTTGAGAATGGGCTAAATAGACAAAACAATTCTTTAAATAGTTTTATAAATGGTTTCATTAAATAAAATATTAATAAATTTTTATTAACATATTCGATAAGAAATTAATTATATTGAAAATAATTCACGACACATTTACAACATATTTTTTGACCTAAATATTCGACTTGCATTCCATACAAGATGCTTACACAAACACGTGAATAGAAACTTATACATATAGATAGACATTTAATATTCTCCGATAACTCCGGACAATATCATTTATTTATTACTAAACAATTTATTTATTCAAAATGATAACATTACCAAACGAATGTCTTTATAAAATATTGAATAACCTTAGAAATTATTATAAGGTTTTGTTTTCATGTCTTCTCGTAAATCGTCAATGGTGTAGAAATGTTGTTCCAATATTATGGAGCGAACCATTAATATATTGCAATAATAGGAAACTTATGAAAATATATTTTCTATCATTGAATGCTGAAGAAAAGGCGTCATTAATCCCATTAAATATATTACCTCCGAATAAACAAAACCTATTATTTGAATATACATCTCATACTACATCGATTGACTACTTTCATTTAGAAAAAGGAATCGTAAACTGGCTTTGTGGTGAAGGACATGAACCTCGTAACTTTAATGAATATTTTACCAAATATTCAGAATTTAAAAATGAGGTTCAAATAGTTAAAAGCTCTTTAATCGTAATGTTATTACGAACAAGTGAAAAAATTAAGTATTTGAGTTTATATAAAATCGACAATAGCAAAGTAGTAAAGACATTATTAAAAACTCTTTATAAAACCATTATTACTTCATTAGAACTTTCTCAAATTGGTTTTAATTTTGAAGAAATAAAAGTACTAGCAAATATTCTTTGTACAAATACTTGCCTAATTTCATTAAAGCTTTATCAATGTGGACTTGGTATTGAAGAGGCTAAAGTTCTATCAGAGGCTCTTTGTGAAAATACAACATTATCTTACCTGAATCTTTCTTTGAATAATTTTGGTGATGAAGGAGTAAAATCATTCGCAAAAGTTCTTTACAAGAACACTACTCTCACATCTTTAGATCTTAGTTACAATCATTTTAATTATGAAGGTGGAAAAGAACTTTTAGAAGCTCTTTACAGAAACACCTCTCTAACCTCTTTAAATCTTAATTACAATGACCTTGGCATTAAAGGAAGTAAAGTATTGGCAGAAGTTCTTTGCAGAAACACTTCTTTAATCTATTTGGATCTTCGTTCTACTAATCTTGGTCATGAAGGAACCAAAACGATAATAATGGCTCTTTACAGGAACACTAGTTTAATTTCTTTAAATATTGGAAATAATAAAATTGGTACTGAAGGAGTAAAAGTAATATCAGAAGCTCTATATAAAAACGTTACTTTAATTTCTTTATCTCTTAACGGAAATCGACTTGGTAATAAAGAAGGCAAGATGTTGGCAGAAGCTCTTTGTAAAAACACTAACCTGACCTCCTTGTTTCTTTTCGATAATCTTATTGATTCTAAGGGAGAAGAAGAGTTAGAAAATGCTCTTTGTGGGAATGTTACTTTAACTTCTTTAGGTCTCAACTGGAACAAAAGCATTATAAGAAACATTTACTAAAAGCATTACTTTTGATTCCTTTAATCTTGACAACATCAAATTTTTGCAGTGATCATTTATAAAAATACTTTTAAATCCTTGTTTGACCGACATTAAGCAAATAATTTTTAAAATTGTTTTTAACTTAGAACTTTATTTATGAAACTATCATTTTCTTTTATCAAAAAATTCCACACCATATTTTGATTTTTATTTTAGTTAACGTTAAAGGATGGAGATGTATATATTATAGTTATATAGTTATAAACTAAAACACAATGTTATATAATGAATAAATATATGAATTAGATAAATAAACACACACATATATATATATTATCATTAGAAATTAATTCTTAGTACAGAAAATGTGTACCATTAGGTTTTTTGAACCAATACTGCGATTGTTTAGTGTTAATACTGTAATTTAAAGTGTTTAAATCATATAAAACGTGTGTATAGAGATTGGACCCGCTAAAAATTTTAGCTCCGGGTTGCCCACCCGTTTAAAAAGCCCTAACCTGGTTACAAACCAGATAACCCGGATAACCCGGTTGACCCGATTGATCACAATAAGAAAAATACAGTATATATATTTACGCCTACCACAACTATCTATATTTTCCAGTATAGTTTGTAAGCCCGTCACATTCTACCTTTGATTTATGTATTCTGGGACAACTGATAAAAAATAGATCGGCCGAATCCGATAAGTTTTAGTATTCGGTGTTATCGAATTACTGTAATGCTGAAAACCCAATTCCGATAACACCCAATTCATTATCAGTTGTCCCAGAATTTATGAGAACAGCTGTAATCAACTACTGTTCGTTTTTGCCGCTTACTTATATAATATATAAAACTATATACATAAAATTGTGAAACTAATCAAGCGAATGTATTTTCATGTATTTATGGATAGTTAATCTCGGTCACCCGGGTAGCAATACCTATGACCCTGTTAACACATCTTAAACCAGATGGCACTTATACGGGTGCAATCTCTACGTGTGAACATTTCATTTATTCACGAATATTTTAATTATTAAAAACCTGTAGAAAAACTACATTCTACATTACAGTTAGAAATCGAAATCATATATTGTCTTGCGTAATACTCCAGACCCATAATTAGGAACTTTAATCAGAATCTGGCCTAAAATTAATCCCTTACTTAATAACGCATGAGTTGCTTACAATATCAGTTATAATAATGAATGTCTTCACAATTATTAATCCTAATTGGAATAAGCGATATGCAGGAACGGCGCTTCTTGCATTTGAACTTTATCCGGACAACATATAGTCGGTCTTAAAAAATTCGACTCAAGGACCGGATTCTGCAAGCCTTTTTTAACAATCCTATATCTGTATAATAAATGGTTAACTTTTTTTGGATCACAGCCCATTTACAATTCTCTGAAAAGATTGCTATTGTTTTGAAATTCGGTGATGCATACTATTTGGCGCAGCGTTGGCAATAATTTAATAGTAAATTTAATAATAAGGTCAAAAACTTAATTAGCCAATAGTCATAATAGGTTATAGGCAATGCCGAGGTGAATAAGACCGATTTCCGTTAATGTTACACACCTATTTTAAGAAAAATTTCGTGAAACACGACAAGTCATCATCCTTGCACTAGGCCATTTAAATCGACAAATATGAAAAACTGGCGCATAAGATTTAACAAATATATAAATTAACGCATATAGTTTGCGTACGTACATAACATCAATAAACTTAAAAATTTTTAGAATCACTCTTTTTAATCCGTTTAATAAGTAAAATGGCCACGACATTTTATAGCGATGTAACTGATGATTTAAAAAATTTATATGAAACTAAAGAAGGTTATGATGCGATTATCATTGTTGGAGAAGAACCATATGTTAAACAATTTCGTGTCCATTCTTTAATTCTTCGTACCAGATCTTCTTATTTTCGTAGTGCATTTTCTGCTAATTGGGCTGTAAAAAATAAGAATGGTCATTTAGTCTTAAAAAAGCCTAATATTAATGCAATAGCTACTGAAATTATTCTAAAGTAAGTAATCATTCATTAAAAACGATATAATAGCATTTAGGATTCTAATTCTAACTCTATTTTGATATATAATATATCATCGTCAAAACATTCAAATATTAAATTAGGTATCTATATTGTGGAGTAGTGGATTTTAATCGTCAAAAAAAAGAAATTATCTTGGAACTTTTAGTTGCTGCTGATGAACTTGGTGTTCAAAGACTTATTAATTCTGTTCAAGATTTCTTGGTCCAAAATTGTTACAAATTTTTACAATCAGATCTCATGAAAATGTTGAACTTTATTACTTGTCATAACTCATTTGATATTCTTAAAAAAGCTTGTTTAAAATCTTTAACTAAAAATTGCAAAGACTTTTTACGAAAAGATCCTATTAATATACTTCATTTTATTATTCATCATGAAACATTTCATGAATTAAGAAAAGTTACTTTAGATGCTATTTGTCAAAATCCTAATTTAATATTTGATTCTAACAAGTTTCTTTCATTAGAAAAAGATGTATTAGTATTGATTTTTGACCGTGATAACCTCAACATGAAAGAAAATGAAGTCTGGAAACGAATAATTAAATGGGGAATCGCTCAACATCCGGCACTTGTGGATGATGTAACAAAATTTACTCATGAGGATTTTAAAACTTTAGAAAAGACTTTACAAGGATTAATTCAACTTGTTAGATTTCATCAGATAAATCGTGAAGATTTCATGTTCGATGTATGGCCATTCAGGCACCTTCTTCCTGATAATTTAATTGAGGATATATTACGTTGTTATTTGGTTTCAACTGCCATACCTCTCTATCACGGATTTCCTGCTAGATCTGGCAACGTTAACCTTAAAATCGACTCGGTTTTAATTAATAAAAAGATTGCTCTATTATTTACAAAATGGATAGATAAAAAATCTATAGATGATGAAAATTCAAGGAAATTTCGTTACAATTTTAATCTTCTTTGTCGAGGTAGTAAAGATGGTTTTTCATCCCACATATTTCATCAAAAATGTGACAACAAAGGTGCAACAATTGTAGTGGGAAAAATTTTAAATACGAATATACTAGTTGGTGGTTATAATCCACGTGATTGGAGTGGAAATGGTTATAGAAGTACTTCGAATAGCTTCATATTTTCATTAAGTGATCGTAATAATCTCAAAAGTGCAATATTAAGACGAGTTACCGACTTTCAAAATGCAATTTATTGTAATAATGGTTATGGCCCAACTTTCGGAAGTGGTCACGATGGAAATGGTCACGATTTATTTGTTCCAAGCTTCGGTATGAAATGGCAACATAATGTAAAGTCTTATCCTAGCATTGAAATTCCAGATTCATTTGCAATCTCAGATTATGAGGTATTTCATGTAGCTAAAATTGCTATAAAATGACAATAGAGTTATACCACTTATAAAGTACATAAATAATTTTTAAAATGGTTCAATTTTTCGACAATTTACAAATCGCATCAACTTTATTTTTTTGAAATAATTGTATACATATCGAGCATGTATTTATGGCAGTTAAATTTTGTATAAAATAGTTTTATTTGGTTTTGAATAGAATGAGTATTGGTGGTTTATATTTACTCACATACAATATTCTTGATATATCTAGAATTAATATATATACATCTTTTATAATTCGAGAATAGTTAATTTTAGGCGTTTTGTATTGAAACAAATGTTACAACTACAGATTAAACTTGATTATAACGCTTGAAATATGACCATTAAGTAATATAAATATCAAAATTAAGTCAAAAATTAGTGAAATGTAATTATTTAATTCTTAGATTGTATACATTGCGGAAATCTTACATTTTTGAGATAATGACAAATATTCTAGATCTAGTGTAAATTATTAATTATATAGGTCGCTAAGAGGGAACTTTCATAGTAAATCGCAAATTAGTTTCTTACTAACACCTTTAACGAGATATTAACCAATTTTTCGTATTTTGTCAAAAACTTCGCTAATACCTCGTTAATAATGCTAGTAAGAAACTAATTTGTGATTTGCTATGAAAATTCCCTCTTAGCGACATATATTATTAATAATTTACACTAAATCTAGAATATTTTGTCATTATTGCAAAATGTAAGATTTTCGCAATGTAACTTTTCTTAGTAATGTAATTGTTGTCAAAAATTAGAATTTTCAAAGAAAATTCTTAAAAACATATGGGAAACACAAGCAAAATTTCGACTAAATTATTAGAGAAAATCAGTTTAATTTATTTCATATCATTAGAATCTTATAAATAGAAACCTTATTTTAAGTTTTAAAAATGAACCTTTTTTAAAAATTTTTAGAAATAAAAACTTCTATTTCACAACAGTTACAGTTTCAAACTTTAGATTTTTAATAATCTTATTAGCCTATAGACTCAGGATCTCGTATCAAACAATAATTTAATCATTACTAGGAATTTAATTTCAATATATAATAACTGATATTATTATTATATTATTACAATTTCTACTAATAACAGAACCAAAACTCTTAGCACAACAAATAAACAATGAAAATACTCTAAAAGATTATTTTTCTATTCTACTTTCAAAAATTTTACTATCCCTCTAAAAATAATCCATAAAGTTTCTTGTTCCTTGCAAATAAAATCGATCATTATGCCATAAATATTATAAGTTATGGTAAAAAGTTTATATCATTACATCTGTACTATTAGGTTTGATATTACCTACCAATACAGTAAAATACACCATACTCATCTCTGACTTCCTTTAAGCAACTTAAGCACATAGTTTAAATATGAATAAATTATATAAGTATAGCCTTTATTCTTTTACTGTTTGTACATGTTATCAATTTTATAAACAGCATTGTGTTTGAAAATAAATTTGGATTTATCAATGTAAATTAAACTGTTATTTTAATTTCAAATACAGATTTTTTGTTCTATTTTCTGTTTGAAATATTGTAATGCAGTAAAAAATTAGGCATTAATTTGAAGCTTTGACTGTTTGAATTTCTAATTATTTTTTGAGATGGCATTATTCAACTTAAAATAGGTTGACTTGTTAAGGTGCTAATATGCCATAATTAGCTTTAATCAAAAGAGTAAAATAATGTAATTTACAAATTACCTTTAATTGCATCTAATATTTTTTGTGTATTGATAATTTTGCTGGTGTACATAAAATCAGAATGTTTTGGTGAGACAGTAGGCCGTTTTTGTGGATCGGAATCCATGCATTTTTTAGCAAATTCAATATAGCAATTCGGAGTTCCAGGAGCAAATTCTAGCCTCAATCCTGTACAACTTTTTATTGCAAGATCAACATTAAATTAATATCCATCGAAAGGTCTATGTCCAGTTGATATTTCTGACATAATTACTCCAAAGCTGTAAATATCAGCAGCTTGCGTGAACTTTTGTCCTGATAAGACCTCAGGAGCAACATAAGGCATTACACCATAAATACCACCTTCTGAATCGTTATACTTCTTAGACAATCCTAGATCTGAGATATAAGATCGCATATTTTTAGTAACACCTTCATGTTGCAAAATATTACCACTATGAAAGTCCGCATGGATATATCCTGCACCATGAATAAATGCTAAATCATTAGAAATATAATCAAGTAGCTTTAATTTAGTTTGCCAGGTAAGATCACAAAAATTGTTTCTTAAAAACTGGTAAAGACTTCCATTATTTGCATATTGAAATACCATCAAATATTCATTGGTTTCTGTATTTTGTGTCAATCCATATATTTTAAGCAAACAACCCACAAATGTAGATTTCATATGATTGTCAAACTCTATCAATGTATATAATTAGTTCAATATGTATTTAATAAGTTATACAATAAATAGTTAACTTACCTTTTAAAAAAACATGAGGATTATTCTTAGAACTAGGTAAGGTCTTAAGTGCAACTATTCTAGATTGTTCACGGATTTTCACATAATTATTACTGTCATTATCAATATTGTTATCACTGTCATCGTCATCGTCATCGTAAACAACATTTTTATCACTGTCGTCGTCATCATCAATACTGTTATCACTGTTGTCATCATCAACATTGTTGTCATTATTATCATCGTCAACAATATCATTATCACTGTCATCGTCATCAAATACGCTGTTGTTACTATCATCGTCGTCGTCATAAATATTGTCATCAGTTTTTCCAATTTCTTTGATCTTTCGAATACCATCCAACCAGTTTGCAGAAAATACAGAACTAAATGCTCCTTCGCCGATTTTTTTAATATTATTTAGCTTGTGGAATGGAATCCACTCAATCATATGTTCGTAATCATAAGTTCTAAGTTGAAACTCTTTTATACAATTATCAATATCCTTATTTCCACTTGTCCATCTTTGAATTTCTATGTCAGGATCACATGTCTGACACCACGCTTTATCAGTGTTATATTCATTACAATGTGCACATTTTCCACAATCTGAATCTCTGTAGTTATAAATTACATTATATTACATAGTTATTTCGTTTCCTCTTAAATTTATATGCAAATAATTTTATGCTTACCGACTAATTAATGTAAATAAAGTGAAATTAAATAGTAAATATTTGTGAATTTAAATAACTTATTAAAATACTTAGATCAATAAATGTTCTTTATGCTCACTCACTGTAGTATGTTAAATGAAATTAATAGTAAATATTTATGAACTGAATAGCTTATTTTAAATATTTAGATTAATAAATGTTCTTTATACTCACTGGCTATGTTAAGTGAAATTAAATAATAATATTCATTAGCTTGAATAGTTTACATTATTTTAAATATTTAAATTAATAAATGCTCTTTCTACTCACTAGCTACAGTATTTTTTAATGAAATTAAATAGTAAATATTCATGAACTTGAATAGCTTATTTTAAATACATATATTAATAAGTATTCTTTATACTCACATACTGAATATGTTAAAGAAATTAAATAATTAATATTAATGAACTTGAATAAATTATTTTAAATATCATATTTTCGCGAAATAACGTTATTTAGAAAATCGTGCCTTTAAAAATAGTATGCATTATTTCAAAATAGGTCCGTCCCTAAATATATGTATGGTCACCTGCACTGGTAATAATTAAGGTTAAATGATTAAATTTGGATCTAAATAATATTTAGATCATAATAATCACTTGTTTTAATTGCGTAACAAGGAATTTGGCATTCTTAATATGGAGATGTTTTATAAATCTAGTTATCAGCTCTTGTTTCAAAATAACGTCGACGCGCATTATTTTGCGAAAATATGACACTTAGACTAGGTCTTAGGCTCGGGCGTTGCTCCGAGGCTAGATCTTAAGTGTTTTATTTTTCTTTGTTAATTTATTTTTTCAATTTGTATTATTTTTTATTTTTTAATTTTTTTAATTT